TTACAACTGAGTGATTTGCTCAAGTAAAATTAACAGAGGCTACTATAAGTTGATGCCAATCAATTGAATTCTTTTTTTGGGCCACCCAATTACTTGAAATCAACTGAAGACCGGTATTTTCTATAGACCTTTTCAGGTTCGACTCAGACTGGCTTCTGTTCCGGAATCCCTCAGATGAGTTGACGAGAAAGTTAAGAAGGCAAGTGTATCTGTTCCCAGATACCACATGGGATAAGGAAGAAATCGAAAGGCGTTTACAGAAGTTCGACTACAGCGCAGTTCTCATTGATGACAAGGTAAGATCATATGAACTTCTCCTTTTGGAGGAAACAAATCGAGCAATTTTTATGATCAAATTGAGGAATTTCACTTCTTTAATATGTCGTAAATGCCACTAATTGATTCTTTGCCATAACAATATAAATTTCTTATAAATTTTATATCATCGAAACACCTGATTTTATTGTCAAAATCTATGAACTGAGGAACAATTAGCAGAGTAATTACTAGGAAAATCCAGGAAGGGAAGATTCAAGTATTTCTTTTATGCGTAACTGAGGGACTGGCACTGAGCCCCAGGCATATTCGACTTTCACTGAATCTTGGCATAAGGTCTCGATGTCTTGGGATGATTATGAAGCTTTGGCCAAAATGTCGCAGCTTTAAACAATGACTTCAGAGCCTGGAAGCCAAAAATCTATCCGAAAATAGCCAAATATTGTATAATTCAGTTTTCCAGGCTCTGTCGAAGGCGATAAGATCGGAAAGTTAGCCGAATAAAGTCGTAACATCTTGGTCAAGGCTTCATAATCATACCTAAGCCATTGATTGCGAGGCCTTTGAAAGGAGCTTTCCTGGCCAACTTTTACAATAAAATACATATTTACTTGCTCGAAATCATTTTTTAAATAATTTTTTTGCTCATTTGATAAAGGTCGACCGAGTTTCGATAGCAATCAATCCTCAACTGCACAGTGGTCGAAGTAATCAACACTTTTTGTCGTAGCCAGACACATCGTTCACTTTTTACACCGTTCGAATGAATGAATGGCTTAACTCACTACACAGCTTCAGGATCAACCAAATGTTCAGGCTTGGGTGGGTGAAGTCACGAATGTCAACATTGACCTTCATGGGATGGGCTGAATTCTTATACAAAGCATAAATTCATTCATAACACCGATTGGAAATCGAATACATGGCTCATTCCTGAAAAGCTCATCTGCTAGTTACCAAAAAATAAAATTTTCGTAAAACTCATTGAAATGCTCATTAATTTTCCTCCAGTCACTATTACCAATAAGTACGCCAATGTTCAATCATTCAGACTCTTCACGACTTTCTTGAAGCAGTATGTATGGATGGCATTGCTCTGATCAAAAACGGCCCAGTGGGTACAAGAAGAGCTGTTCCTGACATTGGAGAACGAATCGGCCTCATCCAGAACACTCATTTCGGGTTTCTTACCAAGAATCTTATTTTCTAAAAGTTATTGTTGTGCTGACATGCCCATATGGGAAAGACCGAGCAATTCGAATCCCCCTTAAAAAGTTTCGTATGTTTCAGAAAAGTTTTCGAAGTAGCAACAAAACCTGATGCAAGTAATATGGCATACGCTTCCCGAAGCGGTCTACCATTTCACACAGACTTCCCGTCACTTGCTAATCCTCCACAGGTGCTTCATTAGGTCGACAGAAGACTTAATTGCCATCGAAAAATCTAATTCTAATTCATCTTTTCAGCTCCAAATGTTGCATATGATAGAGCATGCTGAACAGGGTGGGAACAGCCTCTTTGTTGATGGATTCCACGTTGCCGAACAGGTGCGTCTCCATTTCCGTTTCTTATTTGAAAAAGTTTCATTGGGTAACGATAGCTGATAAGTGATAATCTGAAAGAATTGGGAATACTGACTAGAATTTCCTATGATAGCTTATGATAATAGTCTCTACATTGATCAATTCTACTGAAGATATGCTCTCGAATTCTATTTTCATTTGGCATTGTGAGATGAGATGATAGTGGAGAGGTACCATTCGGTCGCACTATGGCCCCAGCAGGGCTTTAGAATGAGACCTGCACGCTTGAATGCTGTAGTCATAGTGAGTGTATAGACAGAGGCTTCTGCACATGACAGTTGACACCTGTTTCCTGGAATAGCGGGTCTTTCTTGCTGTTAGACGACCTGCCAATTTAGGGCAAACAGGCTGTAGGGGTTAGGCGTCTACATTCTTCATCTCGAAGATTACAATCGAATCAATCTGAGGGCTCAGATTCATGGGTATGGCCGCTTTTACAATTTCTGAAAGGTTGGACCTTCTTCTTTTGAAGCTTCGCGTTCCGATCTCAGAGCAGCTCCCTAGCCCAAAACTTCTGCAACTTTGATTCTCCTCTTCTTGAGGCCGCATTGCCGCAGTGGTTTTCTTAGTTTCATTTTTCCAACAAGTATGATGCTCCCATCGTTAATCGGTCGGACGTTCTGACCTGAGCATACTAAAGCGTTGTCGGTAGCATTGTTCGGGACATTGCGGGAATCCGATACTGACAGGGGAATGGTGGATTTTTTTGATGGATAATTTTGATGGCTATGAAAAAAGCAACATTGTGCTGTCGCTGATGCACAAAATCCCCTTGTAGCCCCTTATAGGACCCTGCTCCCCTTAAAAGAGGCGTAGGACAAAAGTCGAAGCCTTGAAAGGTAGCTCGAGAAATTGAGCGACCTACGCGTGACCATAAAATACCCTCACCCTCAACTAGGAGAAGCATATTCATGAAAAGAACCTTAGGGCTAGCTGTGTGATGGAGACAAGTCGCAGTAGGATCAGATCATTAATTGCTGCATACAAACATCTTCCAGAAAGACCCACCTAGGGAAATAGGTTTCAATACTGATAACTTGGCATAGCATATGGGTATTCGGAGGGCAGTCAGAGACAATTCATGTGAAATCTCTATCCGTTCTTCCAGCACTAAATTCCTATCTCTCACCTCAGAACAATGATAATGCCTGCATGAGAAATGGCTTTCACTCGAAGATGTTCATCGCTCGTTCGGTTGTTTGCATTTATGAGGAACAAAAAATAGCACCAGTCATTGGTGTAATCTCAGTGTATTTTTAAACCTGTCCAATGGCCCATGAATTCAATCCTTCAAGCTTATGCCTCAATGCTGTGGCTTATCAAAGAGAGGGAGGTCCTCTGATCCTCCAGGCGTATGCCTCAATTCTGTGGATCATCAAAGAGAGGAAAGAGAGGTAGGAATATAACAAAGATAGAAAAAGAGCGGTGATCGTAAGGTCTCCATTCATCACTCAGCCATGGACATAAGGCATTGAACTACTCAAAGTCTAAGTTATCAAGTCTTTTGCAAATACCCCTTTTTTGGGATGCGCCTAACACTCGATTTCCATTCCGAATCGTAGTCGCATTTTGATTGTTTATAAGGCCTCTAAAATGACGTGCGGTGGGTAATCGATATACAAATCGGCGCTATAACCCTTCCAGACAAGTTCGGTACCCATTAAGCTCCCCAGGGCGGATACGTTGCTTGGTTGGCCTGACGGACATCGATCCGAGATTCAATTCCAGGTTGTGAAAGTGCACTACATGCCACTACACAACCGGTGCTCTTCGGTTTCATATGAAATTACATACTGTCGGGATTTCTGTAATCATTACCATATACTTCATCTCCATTACCCATCAACTATCTTCAAAAAATAATTGCTTCTGCTTCAAACACCCCATATCCCGTGTAATTGAAATGGGATAATTGCTTGGTGAGTTTGAATGGGAGATTCAAAGTAAGCCTGTTGAAGTGAATCCATTCATGAATATTTAATCACAGAAGATATATTTTTGTCGATGCCCATCCCTCGGTGGAACATTCATTGGACTTGAATCACATTTATTCAGAGAATGACAATGTACATTGACACATGATCTATCAGAGCTCCCACATAGGCATTTAAAAAACCCATGAATTCAATAAAGTGTCAGTGGGATGGTTATTCGGTTACTTCGATCAATCTCATACGGGGATTACTACGAAGAATTCCGTTATTAGCTCGATTGGCATGATGTTCAGTCGCAGATTAGATCTAAACACCTTTTACTACTTTCTACCGAACTTACTGCTGAAAGGAACGGCAGCGCAGTACCTTACTTTTAAAGGCACAGTTCACGATAATTTTGAGGTACCCGTTTTCATTCGAAAAGCGGAACTATAGATTGGGGATGGATCATCGGTAGTGAAGTAAGCGAGAGAATTCGCCGATTTCGAGAAAAATATGGCTCCTCAAAAGTAGTGCAAATAGAGGTTGGACGAGATTGCCATGACGGAAATAACATGGAAGGGGTATTTGGACGAGACTTCAGCTGCTGCAATTGCACAAAGAGCTGACTACATCAAGCCAGAGCTGTACAGAAGTGTCTTTCGTTGTCGCTATAGGTCATGACAAGTTGTTTGATCTCCCTACAATGGCTTTCTTGTGATCGGTACAGCCTCTAAAATGCCCGTGAAACTCGTCCGAGGATACACACGGGCCAATCTTCGAGTCCTATAACTCCCTAACTGAGCCGTTTTCCGACCTAATAGTGCCAGATATGGTACATGCGGGGGCGTCAAATTCATCCTGTGGGGAATCCTAGAAACCATTTTTATCGTGAACTAAACCTTTAAAGGAGGGTGTACAAGTAAGCGTGTAGTTTAAATAAATTAATGATAGTGTACTCGGGTACTCGGCGGTGTAAGGAATGAAATACCACGGTGCCCGGATAGCACAAGCATAGCTTCAAGTCCTTCCGAAGCCGAAGTTTTGTCCGTAGTTCACCAAACTTGTGAGGCCATCATTGGAATTAGCCCACGTCGAAGTAAAAATTCTGACACAGCATTGATAGGCGGCGGTTTTCCATCCATCCCTTTACCGATATGTTTCTGAAAAGAAGCAAAAAAGCACCATAGATAATCATCAAAACTGTTCCATACCATCAAGTTTTTCTTTGGGGCGATCAGCTTGTTGATACCATTTTTATAAAACCCAAAGAAAAGACAACCTGGCCTAATCAACTTTTACATAATTTTCTCTCAGAGTGATAGTGCGTGGCGCATCCCCATCTGCTCTAGGCCATTAATCTAGGGATTTTTTTTATAAATTATTGGAACTCCAATTGTTTTTTAATTACTTGAAAGGAACTAATTGAAAGATGATCCCATTCCTTGAAATGAAATTCCGTTTAGCTTCGACGAGAACAACCGGAAGCCTTTGATATTCTCACTAAGTATTCCATTGAATTCATCGAAGAAGGTTTTGACGTTCATGAAGGTCCTGATGGAAAATCCCAAAAATTCGACTACAATATGTGTGCCAGGCATCGTACCATCAAGTTAGTTAGTACTTTTTTGAAGTTGCTCGAGGTGTTTGGCCCAAGAACGATTCCTAGATTGGACGATTCTGGACGAGTAGTCAAAATTCAATTCGGTAACGCTATGAGAAGCTGGTTCTATGATTGTGAACCAGAAAAAATCCAGGAGATCTACCGGTATGTGAATCCATCTACCAGAGAACTTGACGGCTCTCCTTCAACTTGTTTACTTCCAATCCAGTATATTTTATTTCAGTGCTCTGAAAATATTTACGGACTACTGCTACAAGAAGGAAAACATTTTGAAGTTTGGTCTTGAAAATGGTAAGCTGATTTCTTGTGAATTAGATTGTCAGGAGAGAAGATAGGGACGATGAAGACTCGTTTTGAGATACTCCGTCCGGTTACGAATCAAGTAGGGTACCGCTTCGGGAAAGGGGTGGCTGTAAGACCAGGCCCTGTTGGAGAAAAGTCAGTAATTCAAGTGCCGAAGTGGTCGTCCCACAAAACTTAACTTGTACCTCAGGAGGCTTACCATTAGATGTACTCACCCTTGAGAGCTTGAGAACGTGCTCAAGACCTCGGGAAACCCATGGGTCCAGTATCTGGGATTTGACCACTATTGTTTGTGTTGAACAGTTCTGACGCCCAGGTCATGTCAGTGGTTCCTGTATATCACTCATGCAGAAGAAAGTGGGCTCTGGAGTACTATAAGCTATACCTGAATGGTAGCCCATGTATCAAAGATGTGCCATGTGCCAAGTGGCGCTTGAGATGTGCCAAGTGGCGCTTGAGTACCCTTACCTTCTTGAAAATTAGATGGTTGGTGGTAACTGGTACCCATGGCCGAGGGACCGATAATCTAGGACATGTTTAGGGACGAAACGTCGACTCATCAGTCAATATTTGAACGCACGAACGAAGATGACTCGGAGTAACAAGCTAAGGGAGTGGGAGACTTGGCTGGCCAGGATGGCTACCGAGATTCTACTTCAAAACATACTTGTTAATGGATGCGGTAGCTGGTCCCATCTTGCCTACATGCTCTTTTAGTCCTATCCTTATTTACTGACATACAAACGGGTTAGTACCAGAATGGCACAGAGGGAGTCGGTTAAAGGCACAGTTCGCGATGGAAATGGTTTCTGAGATTCCCCCACAGGATGAATTTTAGGCCCCCGCGTATACCATATCTGGCACTTTTAGGTCGGAAAACGGCCTAGTTAGGAGTTATAAAGGCTCGAAGATTGGCCCACGTGTATCCTCGGGCGAGTTTCAACGGTACTGAAGAGGCTGCACCGATCACAAGGGAACCCATGTGGGAAATTCAAACAAGTTTTCATAACTCATAGTGACAGTGAAAGGCAATTTTGGACGGATTTGGTGTGATGTAGTCAGCTCTTTTCGCAATTGCAGCAACTGAAATCTCGTCCGAAACCCCTCCCATGTTATTTTCGTCATGGCAATCTCAATTGTCCCTACTTTTGAAGAGCCATATTTTTCTCGGAATCGGCGAATTACCTCACTTTCTTCACTACCGATGAACTATTCCCAATCTATAGTTCCGCTTTTTGAATGAAAACGGGTACCTCAAAATTGTCGTGAACTGTGCCTTCAAGTTGGTGAGCCGCTCGCGATGCGCCTTACACTCAGCGTCCTTGAGAGAGACTTATGCCATTCAGAACAGTCCAAAAGCGTCCCCAGAATATGTTTGACAACTACGAAATTTGAGGCCTTCTGTCACACGTAGGATTTCATGTAACCATTCATTATCGCTAGGATGAATGACTTGATAGGCTTAACCGCAATTCGATCCCACAAAGGGGTAATTTTCGGATAAGCGGTGATTACACCCACTGACCACATTGTTCTATCTAGGGCAACGAATTTCTGTTCTCATTTGAGCACATGAGTGTTTTCCTAAGTGAGCTTTTCCAATTCAGGTGATACCGTACTATGGGCGAACACCCGACTACTTCACACCCGCGACGAATACCATAATGCTCCAAACTGCAATCGGACACTGACCGGCTGTTATTTCACGTGGGACATCATCAAATCAAAAGTACGGTATCTAAGACGAAAGCTCGCTCTGCCCAGTGCTCAACCATCGGCCTAGGTTGAGATTTGGCGTTTCCCCATTCGGAACCGATCAACAAATAAACAATTCACCTCACATATTTATATCACAGCAATAAATCTATACTTAAATACAAAAATACGAAATTACCTGAAACATCTTCTCAAATTAGTACAACATCTGTTAAGAAAATTTGTGAAAAGAAATAAAAGGGAAGCACCCAAAGTCGACATCATCATTCTTGACCGTATGCCACCAGGGAGGAGAGAAAACTGTGCAAAAGTGCGTCATATTTGGAAAAAAACACTCAGACGTAAATTTACACACGAAAAATCGAGATCAATGATGTCGACAGGGCTTAGTGAAAAGAAGGGCTGAAGGGGGAAACACAATGGAAACGAAACAAAAACGAAAAATGGTGATGATTATGGCGGAATACTGTAGCACTCGTTCTGCGCCAAGAGCGATATGCGGGTGATATGCGAATGATATGCGCGGACAGCAGGTGGGTGGGTGGTAAGTTCGGGAGGGGGGTGCTGGAAGTGATAGGAAAGTCATAAAGCTTTGAATGGACTGACTGCCAATGTGAAACTCAAATGAATGAACGAAGAAAATATCGACGTAGTACGTAATCATAATATGATGAATAATAACCTCTAAAAGCAGGGTGAGGCCTAGGCCCCATAATGGCCTAGGTCTTCGCGGATATGTATGCATTCTCGGAATTGATGAATTACGTACAATAGTACTTAAGTACAATGATAATATTATATGTTAATATGATATATATAGAACTTAATAAATGAGAAGATTGGACATTAACGAAACAATTGAATGAACGGCATTACAGCCTACCGTAACCTCTGGCCTACAGTATGCTAGGTGTTAGTCTACTGGTCAATGCTTGACGAAGAAAAAACTGAGGCATACTGTTTGCTGTTAACTCCGAAAATTCCTATTATATCTAAACTTATATGCATGTACAAGTCCTTTAATCAGTATAAACTATTAATGGACTCTAGTTGATAAAGCCTAGTCAGAAGGTGTGTCACGCCAGTAAAAATGGTATATGAAAAGGCTGCGAATTATCACAATCGATTGGCGACGCGATATTGGGTCATACGTGTCGACGCATACAAGTTTTCGCGCTCCATCTCGAATCCAGACAGAGGTAACTCGTCCGAATCCATGATGACCCCGCGACAACTAGCCTGCACCAACTCTGTCGTAATGAGGACCTGTTACGCGAAAAGCGATCGTGCACAGTAGTAGCCCTTACTGAACAGAAGAAATCTAGACCGACTGAATCTTAGTGTGGGAAAGCGTGATACAAGAGGGTGAGAAGAGACAGAGACAAGAACGGTGATACGATATGATTGAATGGAGTGTCAGGGTGAAAGTGAGAAGAAGCCTAGTGCTCTTAGATCCTCACAGACACGTAGAATCAAAGGGACAGTCAGGGAGAGGGAGATGGAGATAGGGAGAAGGAGGGTATCACAGTAGTCGATCTCTTAATATGGCATGAACCGCTCATACTCGTCAAAATTCATATGCGATATATCCTGACGCATGAAAGAACAACATGGGATGGGGGATGGGGATGGGGATTGGGGATGGGGAGGGATGACAGTAATACTGCATTGAGTGTATGGGGACGGGGGAAGTATGTTAGTGGAATTAAATCCCTGGGTATCGTTGCTGCTTTACGATTGTAGCACCGAATCATCTACACGCTCCTAGCTTTCCCATTATGCGAACCGTTGGATCGACAGACGGGATTGAATGTTATGTATAATTATAACTTATATAAAAATAAAAATGTGACCACTTGTACGAATGAATGAATCTGAACGACAGCACGGATCCGACTAGATTCCAGATTTGGAGAACGAGACCCGTAGATGAGCGTTCTCGGCCAATTTGTGATTGTGCATAGCGATGAGGGCGTCGATGGCCGTTTCGACGTCTTCCAATTGGCACAGTGCCATTTTGTGATCCTTCCTGAAGTGAATAATTTCTTCAATGACCGTACTCGCTACCAGCTTGTCGTCAAGCAACTTACGGAAAGAATTTAAACGCCTTCACAGTGAAGCCATTCGTCTCAAATGCTTCGGTCAGCGTTTGTTCGGAAATGTTCGGTGGAATGTTAGACAGATGAAGGGTACAGCTGGGTGGATATATGTTCATGTAGTTCTTGCTGCCAGGCTTTTTAAAGCGATGTAACGGTGAATGGGAATAATCTCTGGTTAGACCCGCGTCTGGTTGACCTGAAAATATCACAAAATAAATATAAGTAAATATAAACGTAGTCTAAACTGCTGAAATCTCTCGAAGTGCGCCACGCCCGAGACCTAAACCCAGAGTTTGAGCACATCCTTGCAAGAGTTGTGGGAATCAGTCGATGTCAAAGATCCCATTATAGCGGCGCCGGTATGTACTCGAATAGGAACTCGTTTAAGGGTATTAGGGATAATTTTCCATAGGTAATGTTGCCCGTGTGGGCGGAGGTAATGAAGCAGCAAATGGTACACTAACACACGCTTTGTCCGGGATCGAATCCCTGATGGATACCCAAGCCAATCAAACCTTCTATCCCTCCCGGGTCGGTATAGTACCAGACTTATCTGGGAGGATAGAGGCACTGACACAAGCGTCTGATTACCACCGTAACGGATCGTCCCTCTCCAAGACTGTTTACCATCAAAAAACTTTATCCTTCGAGTTTGCTTGTACCTTCCCATATTACTTATTCTTAAAGTTAGTTTCAGCAAAGTTGTGGGGCATTAAGAAGGGAGCCCACTAGTCAAGCGTGAACTCCCCAGAAGCGCAATACCACCAATGCTCTGAAAAAGTAGTCCCAATCCTAAAACATACCCTCTTTTGGTAATTGAACGTTGTTATGTTTGGATGGTGCAACCCGAATCACACGATCGTGCCATCGGATTTTGTCCAGATGCTGCATGGCTGAAAAGAAGAAAAAAAACTTAATTAAACCTTAGAAGATTGATTTATATTGGAAGTAGCACGAGATGGTTTTATTTGGCAGATCGCGTGAACATAATTCTGCTATCGTTCGGAGGGGATAAATGAAATGTTGGCGATGACAGGGTAATTTTCCCGATGACATCCCCAGAAACGCTTCCCTAAATACCTACCTAGCTGGGCTTGTTGAGGTTCCGAGTACTGTATCAAGGCATTATCCTTTTTGTTATAGAGAATTTTCACACGAACTACGTCNGGTTTTATTTGGCAGATCGCGTGAACATAATTCTGCTATCGTTCGAAGGGGATAAATGAAATGTTGGCGATGACAGGGTAATTTCTCCGATGACATCCCCAGAAACGCTTCCCTCTAAATACCTACCTAGCTGGGCTTGTTGAGGTTCCGAGTACTGTATCAAGGCATTATCCTTTTTGTTATAGAGAATTTTCACACGAACTACGTCTCCATAGACACCTGAAAATGACAATTCTTCAATGGGATATCGGCAATTTCCATGACAGTAGCGCCAGAGTTAATTAACTTGGAAAAGGAACTTAGAAATCGACGTCAGTCGGGGCTATTTCTATAATTATTATCAATTTCTGAATCAGAACTAGAGACTCACCGAACAGAGTGAAGAGGGCGTCGGGAGATACCTTCTGAAAGTCAGGCTACAATTAGTAGGTCGTAAAATCGTGGCCGCCAAGCGAAAACTTACATTTTCGTCCAAATTCGATACCAAAACCACTGATGTAATACTGAGTATGTTAACGGGAAATCGTAGAGAGGTGAGCGTTGATGGGGTAAGACCGCCGACGGCTCCACCGAGAGCTGTCAATGACGGAAGGTACTGAGACAGGGCAGTTGCCTCTATAAAGCGGATACATGAATAAAAATGAAGTGTAAATGATGATATCAAGGATTAAGGGGTAGGAAATAGCTCAAGAATTACCTGCTCCTATCGTCGAAGGGATGAATGTGGCCGCTGGATTGGTCCCGAATGCAAATGAATAGGGGGATGCCGTCGGTAGAAGTGATTGAAGACCTGGGATTCCTGAAGAATGCAGAAAAGAATGTGAACCCGGAATTTCTGAAGTAATGGGAACTCTAGAATACGAGATTTATGAATGACTTCAACCCGATTGAGCGATTTAGTAGGTTGAGTTGGAGACAAGGTACTCCTGAGCGGCACTGGAACAGTGTGCGCCGGCCAGGGATCAAACCTGGGATCAGAATTCGCCCAAGCCAGTGTAGTAGCTACCACACTACTTTACTTCCCTGCATTGATTACTTCTTTTCAACTCGTCAGTTAATTTTAAACCTAGCAGACCGTTGTACTGCATTCCATCCAATCCTCTTTGCGTCTTCAAGAAGGGTCTCAGGCTTTTTTCTAGTATTTCGTGAAGGTCGCAATACTTGACAATGGAGCGTAACGGCTGCGGTTTTGAAAACCGTGCGGCACCTGCGAAGTTCTATAAGGCTGACTATAAGGCGACGCAGCACCTATTCGGGAATATTTTTGGCAATGCCCAGTAGCGCTAGAAGTCCCAGATCCGTTTAGCCCAAGAAACAGTCCTCTCTTGCTTTAGGAATGTTTCTTTGTGACGAGCTGTTGACACAACGTAAAAAACCATGGAATCCACTCGATCCCGCGAACATTCCCAGAAATCAAAGCCAAATCCCAGAGTTTTCGTTTAGGTTAGGTTAGGGAAGTTCACTCACCGAGTCCTAGCTGCTGCTCGAGGCTGATTTCTCCGGAAGGAAGATTAGGATTCGTATAGTCACGACTTTTGTCATTATTATACTTCACATTAAGTGTACTCAATTTGCTGTAGTCAATACGCAAAGTACAGCACCTGAAATCAATTGAAACGTAAGATACCCGAGACGAGACAACTAGCAAGTAAAGCTGACCCGTTGTAGACGTTTTGGTTTTCGAGGTTCTGTTTGGCGAGTTGTGCGGCATTAGCCTCGCTTATCTGGACCAGTGCTTGGAACGTGTCTGTAATCATGCAAGGTCATTCATGGCTCATGCCCATAGACCGGTAATGGGAAGCTGTTCTACTACTACTACTAGTACAACTACTATTAGCCATTGAAAGCCCGCGAAGAAATAGGAAGAAATGAAAGGTGTGTCAAAGTACATATCGGAAAGTAGGTAAGGACGGAAACGGAAATAGAGACTCACTATTCTTGTTGAATGTTATGATCCTCAGCACTTTGCCATAGCGAGAGAAGAGCTAGAATAGGAAAGGGGTGAACAGATCAGAAATCAACAGACGGTACAATAGTAGGTGAAAGATCTGATAGGCATCTGGCGCTGACACTGACTGACTACGATGCGCGCGCATCATGATGATTAGTGATAGCAGCAGTACGTCCGAAAAGCAGCGCCATGACGATGGTACCGAAATTCGGAGAGCCGAAGGGAAGGCCAGAATGGCCAGAAGTTTCGGCACTTCGTTTTTTCGGCTTCGTCATCAACATGCTCGTGTGTTACCACATTGGCTAGCGAAACTTAGTAAAGAAGTAAGCGACCCTTTCAGTTAGAGCGTAATAAACACAAACAACACTACGTACTGTGTGCAGGACGTCCAGGGTCACTGGATAGATCATATTCTCGATAATAACACGAAGCACACTGTTTGGTGCTTGCTGTGTACCGCCGGAGATGTCCAGCGTCGAGATCGAACTGCCATTGGAAATCGGAAGACCCTAAATGGACATTTGAGATGTATCAGTTTCACTTGACGATTCCTTTCTCCTTCATCCTCCTGTTCATCTCTCTATCTCACCCTCTTTATGAGATCCTCAACTTTGAGGAGGCGACCATGAGCTGCTCACGCCCCGTAGGATATTTATAAACAAAAAAAAAGAGATTTAATTTCAAAATCATGTTCTGACGGTACATTCGGTATGCCTCAAACCCAAGGCCTGCTGAGTGCTTCGAATCCGCCCGGAAGGATGGGAGGATCGACTCGAATCTCGTTTTTGGATGTGGGATGGGCAAACTACAATTCTGATTCTGACAACACATGAATACGAGTGACCTAGTGACATGGAAACAGAGGGAATGTATGGCATTTTCAAAAGAAATGACCAAACACGACCACGTTCCCCTTCTTCACCCAATAATTTGAGGAAACACACGGTACAGACATTTTTTTCCCGGAAAAATGTCAGGCATGTGAGCACCAAACATCTATCCCCTACTGCCACTGAGCAGTGGGAGTTTAATTAGAAGCAGTGTCCATAAAGCTGGTTCATAACTGGCTTAATAGCTGGTCAATGATACATCAAGAAAGCAATTGGAAGTTTCAAAGCTCTGCTTCCAAGTGGTCGGTTACTTTTTCGTTACTTGTGGCAAAGTCTAAAAGTATGGGGGAGGGGGATATAATCTTTATTTCAGGGATGCGCCCCGCATTCGACTTCCATTCAGAATCTTAGTGGCGTATCGAATGCGTATGTGGCCTATACAATGACATGCGGTGGTCAGCTGATGTACACGTCAGCGCTTTTATCCTCCTATACGAGTCTGGTACCGACTAACCGACCCCGGAGAGATGGAAAGCTTGGTTGGTACTGGCGGATACTATCCGGAATTCGAACCCGTGAACATCCGAGTGTTAAGTGTGCCACCTGCCACTACACCACCTGTCGATAATTATCAGCATTTAACATCATTTAAGTCGTTGAATTGCCGTAGTATCAGCTCATACAACTGTAGAAGATACACACTTGCGATAATAACCTCAGCATAAAAATATGGTCCGGCCAACAAGGGAACAGGATCAGGAACTATACCATCTGACCCGGAATCTTTCGATCTGGCCAATCTAATTTCTACCACTCCATCCTTGAACTTTTTTATCAGACTAAAAGCTCTAACGTTCTATGTGGTCCACCTGGAATATTTAATTCGGACCAGGTCAAACATCAGTTGGAATTCAAGGGGTGAAAAATTCACAATAATAGGTTCGTATATGGTCATGTTGGGAGAAACGTCGTATTTGCATATAGGTAAAGATAAATTCATGGAAAAGATAATTGCATTTAGTAAATAACTGTCTTGAAGGTATGAGGCCTTCCTCCTGTTTTTTGGAAAATTTCGAAATGGTACACTTTCAATTCTTTACCCTGGCGAAAGATCCCAGCTAAAATACTTTAAAGGTACAGATGTTGAATAAGGGGCCCAAAGGGATCGATTCAGGTCTCGAAGCTGATCTTGTGGTGGGTGAGGTGGTCAGCCAATACCTGTCTATCCAACTAGACTGGGAACTTGCCAAAGAGAATATGTTTTAGACTGAACGTGCAAATTCCACTTCAGCAACTTTAAGGTCCAATTATACTGCTCGGGTAGAAGTGCAAAAATCAAGGGAATTACATGGTGCCAAAGGCAAACTTCCAGTCTTGTAGAAAAGAAATCTTTTCAGTTTGCCAGGCAGATTATGATGGGAGAGCTTTGATACAACTTCCTCACGTTTTGCAATGAGTAATAATAAAAATATGATCAAAAAATTTAAAAAATTTTGATGAAATCAATTACTTTACAAAGTTAGCCGCAATCCATGATCTGCGTTTTGGTCTCGATTCTTAATTTTTTTCCTTTATTTGCAAATAATACAGCACAGTTTCAAGTTTAACTATGAAAATTTGACCTCTCGCCCGAACACCTTGAATAAAAAGTTTCATACTTATTCAGGATATTTTCAAATCTGCAAGCTCATTTTATAGAGCTCAACCTCAACCAATGAAGTGAGCTCTTCTATCTTCTCCTTCAATTGGGCTTGATCAGGTTTCTCAAAGTTGTAAAAAAGAGCTCTGACGACTCAGTGACTCACAACAAAGTTCCTAATGACTCAGCAGGTCCATCTACAATAGCAAAAGGGTTACCAAGTAAAAACGCAGTATATCCTGATGAATGTATTGTGATGCTCCAATATCACCTGGCAACAGGGCAGACATAAAATTCAAGCAGTAAATTTTAGGGTCGTAATATTGTGAAGGGTCGCAGTATTGCTGTTAATTAGTAAATGAGTGATGTGTTCTCCCGCTTGTCTCGTCAAAATGGGAAATGACCTAAGCAATATGGGAACGTGTAACTGGGAAGGGTGTCACAAAAAAAAATATTGCGTAGCTTTAACTGATAGAACTTCAACCCACAACTTGAGCCATTCGGGTGAGACTTCAGGAACTTAAGGTTCGATCCAAGGACTAACCAAGTGAGGTACCCTTAGGTTACGCCTAAGCCGTTTCCTGTAGAAGTTGAAAAGAGTTGTCGCGATTTTACCTATTTGGTGCATATGAGGAGAGCACAGAAGCTGATTGAGGGTCTTATAAAAGGGAGTGAAGGTGGAATATGGGAGTGGAAGTGAATGAGGCTGCATAACCCAAGATTTTGGAAGTTGTTCGGTACCAGATACTGATGAGATTAATCCCAGAGCAGAACCCACTGACGCCCCTATGGAATAATGGAATAATCAAAATTAAAATGAGCTTGATTCCATGTTCCATTAATTTGAAACGTCATGGCGCACATTACCATCAATCACCCAATTCAACCTCACCATCCGTCAGCGCCGGTCGAAATCATACCTGGTCAGTGCGAAACGAGTCGTAAGTCGGATAGGAGTCTGGCATCACCTGGGCGGCCATTCTCTTGGCATCCAGAAGGCGTTGAGGTGGCGCAACGCGCTTCGTCGTCTGATGATGACCAATACATCAACGAAATCGTGAGAGGGGATAGCAAAACGATGGCGACGGCGACGAATACGACACATACACGATCGATGTGGTAGCAATGAACAATGGATGGAAGAAGGACAACGAGCAAAACATGTATCCGATGTACAATAGAGAGGAATGGGCAGGGAACGAGGGGAAGAATATGCCAGAATGTGGAGCGCGGATAAGAACGAGGTGCCGATCCCGGTCATGGTCGCTTTGGACGCCATTGGCGTCACTCAATTCACATCTCGTCGTTCTCGGAATTCCGAATCACATCTGTATGCGCCTCGGCTCGGCTCATCGTTTCAATTGTCAAATGAGCAGCGGTTTCATTAAGTATGACGTCATAGTGATAATTTCAAATTCAAAGGATAATTACTCTTTGGTATTGTCATAAATTGGACCCTATCGTGGCTGAGAACAAGTAGGAGGAAAGGGGGATATGATCGGAGACCAAGGGCTGATTCCAAGTCTCGGTTATCTCCGCTCTATGAGTGCGATGAATTACCCAAAAGCCATTCCCTAACTACAGTCCCTAAAGTATGCTCAAGGACTGAGTGGGGGTAGAAGACCCTCAGACGAGATTACCATACAATTCACTTTCATTTTTGAGGTCAGTATGAATGGGGAAAGGGGCAGAAGGAAATGAAGCAGCTGTGAAGGCAACGTCAAAACAGAAAGTCATTCAGTGCTGTATGTGTGTGTGCTGGTAATGGCAACACCACTTGGACGTTAATAGTATTTGATTATTCAGCCATGACGTCCCGACCGATATATTGAACAAATTTGGGATGAAATAAATCGCAAACGGAGAATGATACAAAAAGAAGTGGTGGCAGATGATGGGGTGGAAGCAGATAGGAACGCAGGCAACACTGGGCATGGGGAGATCCCCCCGTACGTGATTGGGGCAGCGAGGAAGCGAGGAATACATGCCTTAGGTGATGCAGAGATTAATTAATTTCGACCAGCCAGCAAGCGCATGGGGATATTCATCGTCGTCCTCGTCGTCGTGGAACGAGACGAGGCGACTACTCTAATTCATCAAGATATCCATCGTCACATAATAAAGGCCGACTGGTTTGAGTGACGGCAACGGGGCCATAGAAAGCTCATCATCAACTAGAGCTACCTATAATCAGGGGATATTTATAGGAGCACTTGAGGGGGTACACCCAGACCAGAACAAAATTCGACCACCAGTGGAAGCTGGGACAATGAATCTCCCTATAAGGGATTTCATCCACGTCATTTCGCTCTGCACCCACTAGCATTGACGTGAGACAAAGGAGCTTCAGGCAAGCTGATTCCTAATTGTTAAGCTGCAGCATCTACCAGTGACCAAGACAAAGGTCCCAGTCAGTCTCTTCCTCAGAAAAAGCCAAAATTTACAAACTCTCGTCCTTATGGAGAACTTCGGTGAAAGAATTCGATGAGCAGGTCCTAATAGTCCTATCCTCAATAACACCTTTAGAGACTCACCTACTGGGAGATTTGAAGGGGTCACATAAAAGGAGCACTCTTTCTGGATCCAGCCAACTGTCCGTTCTCTTAAAAAATATAGCTCCTGGCTTGATCTCCTCCACTCAGTGAGCTACTCGAGTCTTCACCCTAATCAGCTTATTCTACTCGCCTTCTCGCCACCCTACTTAACCAGCCTTTTGGGAGGATACTCATACTAGAGCCAGCTCACTTCCTAAACATTCTCATACATAGACCTGCAGCCAAGGAGAAAAGAGGAAGAAGCTACCCATTGAGGTCCATTACCAGTAGGAGCACTTGCTAGAATCCACTGATGAGACAACGCAAACAATGAGTGGAATGCGTATAAGACCCGGTTATTGGCCCATATGGTCGCATATCCGGCCTCCTAGGGATGTAGCTGAAGCTGGGAGCTCTTTGATGCCTCCCATCCGTTGCAAGAAACTACTATTGGGAACGGAGAAGGGTACTATTTTGGAAGCGAAGCAATCCCGAATGGGAGGGCCCCATCGATGTGGGCAGAAAGCGCATACAGGGAGCGTTTTTCACAATGACGCCATTATGACTGAAACATTGATTTGCTGACGACAAAAGTGTCGAACAAAAATATGACAAAACGGCTACGATATGGGCACCGTCCGTTTTGATGCGTTCCCCTCCTAATGGTGGTTGACAAATGAACGTTGAAAAACTTGGTGATAGTTTATAGTTTATTGTGGAACGTCTGTCAGTGAAAACAGCGACGGGTGGTGATCAATCGTCGATACGGATCTCAACTGAACTATCTCTAGGCCAGCTATCTCCGGTAGATGTAGTTTACCCATGAGATAAAGTAATATGAACAGAAAATCACAGAAAAGATCGAATCCAGGTCCATCCCGCAGTCCCATTTGGACAGAAAGGTTATCCAATCCCGAACCATTCAACTAATCCCACAGCGAAGAAGGTGTTCCTGCAAACAGTCTTAGACCTTAGTTTGGTCTGGGAATCCCTCAGAGCCAAGCCCTTCCCCGAGCAGATTCTAGAAGAATAGAGATGGAACGGGAGAAATCGTATGGAGTGCCGGACGGACAATCTGAGGGAAATCGACAGGATGTGTATGAGCGTGTGTGATTGCGAGCTGACTACATTGCAACGACCTTGATCGGGGTGAAGGAGGAAAAATCTCGTCGATGAGAAACCGAAGCGAGGTCAACTTACAGCCATCGTCGTCTTTCAGATGTGAACGACGGACTTTTGCATCGTCGTCATTTCCGTCGAGTTCAATCTCACCTCCGGAAATCCCGACATATATCGGGCCGTAGCTCGCAATTTGTAATTGCCGGGTAGCTTGCTGACTAGAGTGAAGAGTAATGAGGAGCTGCTCCGGTGGTGGTGTACGACGGAAATAAGAGTAATGAAGCATTTTGTATGCTAAGAGCGATGCGGAGGCTGGCCTGCATGCTGACGGCAGACCAGCCACAGCCAACCGCCAGCCAGCCGTAGGAGGGAGCGCGAGACGACGAGGAGAGGAGAGGAGAGGAGGTATTGGTTTCAATGAAATGAACGCGGCCACACATCAAGCACTCTTTAGCCAACGAATACAACCCAGTAATGAGAATATCCATCGAACACGCACGTCCGATGCGGAGAGAACTCAACAGCACCAGTAGCAACCACGCTTCATGGGCATCCTCTTTATGGGGGCAATAGTTAGAAATCGGTGTTACAAGACGAAATAAAAAACAAAATGGCATGAGTGGGTGATCCAGCAATCATGATTGAGTTACGCATAATGAGATTGTTACCCTCCCACTTTGGGATAGGGGCACATTACCAAACACAACCGTGAATCCGGTAAAGCAAGTTTGGCTGGATTCGACGTGGCACGTAATGAGATATCTGATGTATTCCCCCCAGATTTGACTACTTCTTACATGGGACCCGATCTGATACGCTCAATGGGCAGGGAAAGAGGAGCTGGTTCGTGGTAGCAAGCACGCTAAGCACGAGCTTGGAGAATAAATAGGTTTTTGAAAATCGTGGAAAGCACGGTTCGAGCCGAAAAGAAAACTTGGAATAGCACAGATTCCATTCAAAGACTCTGTCCAGGCTATAGATTCTTCTAAAGGGCTAAAAAAGTCCTGTAAGGCTCTCACAGAAATTTGGTCGAACATATAGAGTTCAGGCCTCAGTATAGAGCATTTTAAGGAGATACAGAATGAAGAGGTGTACCAGTTCCTTTGAAGTAAATGTGGACTTCTTTGCTTAGCTGACCCCTCAGGAAATGCATAGTCAATGAAAATTAATATTCTTTCTTAACAGTCCAAAGATGAAAAGTCAATTTAGTTGAGGCTTCTGCCCCATCGCCTTCATTAGGGCAGCAAGGACCAGGGCGTTCTCTTCTTCGGAGCATCCTATGGCTTTCGCTACTGCTTTACCAGGTTTCAAGGTGTACTAAGAAAACAGAGTTGGGTTAGGAAGTTCAAAGTCGAGGGCACACTTTCTGGTAGGATATGGCGACCTACGAGAAGGTTGGGTGAGGCAGGTGCAATGATGACAGAGATCAGACAGAGCGACAGAGGAATTCCTAGTGGTTAGACGTTAGTCAGATACCGAACAGCAACAGCTCCTTCTCAGTGAACTGCTGACTGCAGTGGACGCAACACAGCGTGAAATCGCACGCGCAACTCATAAAATTAGCAAGATTTTAATAGAGATATATGTGGCGCACCTAAACGGTCACAGACGAACCGTTACAAGTCTGAAATCCCAGGAGGAATCGGACTCCAAGGCCTCTACTTCGAGAAAATCGAGTGAGCCCTGCCGTATCATTGAGGTGAGACAGCAAAA